GTTCATGACTGGGGAAAAGTGTGACATTATCCTTTCTTTGTCGGACTTTTCCACACTTCCACACCTCTGAGAAGTGTGGAACTAAGTAAAGAATGACAAAGGGTTCATGACTGGGGGAAAGTGCGACAATATCCTTACTTTGTCAGACTTTTCCACACTTCCACACCTCTGAGAAGTGTGGAACTAAGTAAAGAATGACAAAGGGTTCATGACTGGGGAAAAGTGTGACATTATCCTTACTTTGTCAGACTTTTCCACACTTCCACACCTCTGAGAAGTGTGGAACTAAGTAACGAATTACAAGGGGTTAGTGCCTGTGGGAAAAGTGCGACAATATCCTTACTTTCTCAGACTTTTCCACACTTCCACACCTCTGAGAAGTGTGGAACTAAGGATGAAAAAAGAAAGTATGGATCTTGTGGCCAGCACTGGACATTTGTGCTGTAGCAACCACTTACTGTTTTGTCTTAATAAAACTGAATTAATTGAAAAAAAAAAGCATGAATTGTAACTCGTCTAATGCAGTTTATTTCACTGTATGTACGATCTGATGGTTTTCAGTAAGTGGTGGAATCCACAGAAAAACAAATGAGGACGGGTTTGATAATCATAAATCTTGCATTAGAGGTGGTCACGGCGCTCTTTAATATTCTTCTCTAGGGATAAGGATTTGATAGTTGAAAGACATTCAAATACAACTAACTCACCCTGACAGAGTCAACCGACGAGGAACTCTGCAGAGACGGAGTGCGAAAGTGGGCCAATACACTAAACACTCTAACCCCATGTGGTTTCAGGAAAGATGATTTTTTGTTATGGCTACGTACAAAATGGGCACGTGAGGCTATGTGACAGTAAACTATAGCTAGAGTATTCGCCTACTCAAATTTAATAGCTCTAACCTGAGATCAGGCCCAATTTTAGTAGCTTCCATACATTCTCTCTTACCTTGTCGAGCTAATAGGGCCTGATCTCAGGTTAATAGCGCTAGCCTGCTTCATACTCCGATGAGCAAGCTGATGAGGTCTGATGACGTCAAAAAACTGAGTTTAGCATGATCCAATCCTCCCAAGTGCAACCATAACTCAGTAGTACACGATGAAGCATTGACCATGTGTTTTATAAAGTAAGTTTAGGGAAGACTTCTGAATTTGTTAACCAATAGTAGAAAATCAAGTGAGTGTTGCGGGTTATTGTTTACTCGAAATACGTGTTTTAAAAAATCTTTTCCCGAATTGTAGGAGGGTGATATTGAAAGAGTGAGATACTGTCAACAGCACCGCGAACTTGTCAACGTGAAGACATTTGACAAATCAGAGCATGAACTTAACGGCGGCCTCAAAGGTATGTCTCCAGCAGGTGCTGCCGCCCTTTCCCCCTCCACATGCCACCGCTTGGCTCGCTGATATCCTGTTTTTTTGCCTATTTCCCCCACCTCGGAGCCTGGTCCCAGGCAACACGATTTTACATTGGTCAGCCCTACTCATAAAAAACTATTTAAAACTTTGGGCTACATAATTTATGTCAGCGATGAAGAGTACTTAAATCGTCTCAATATTCTTTCGAAAAAGACGCCATCCGTTTTTTCTTGTATAAGGAACTGTGTAATAATTACCAGGAAGCGATGGGCCAAAGTTGGAGGTGCCATGATGCGACAACACAATCAACGAATTATCCACGTCAATCTCATACGAAAGAACTCTTCTTAAATGTCAAATAGCCTCATCGGCGAGGATCATTTCCCACACAAGCATTCAGTGTCTTATTAAATTCTAATACCTACGTACCTGATTGACACCTAGTCCCTGCGTATCCAGGCTGACAGCTACAAACATATCCATTAACCTGGTCAGTACACGATCCTCCGTTTAAACAAGGATTGTTGGAACATTCGTTGATGTCTGTGGCAAAAAGTACAATATGAGAAAGGTCAACTTTTCATGGCAATATTAAAAGATTGATTACAACTTTTGCCAAAACTATCTACGCTAAAAATATTTCTTACTTGTTTGACACTGTGCTCCTGCGTATCCAGGCTGACAGCTACAAGCATATCCATTAACCTGGTCAGTACACGATCCTCCGTTTAAACAAGGATTGCTGGAACATTCGTTGATGTCTGTGATAAGAAATTCAAACACCGGAATACTAAACTTTTAATAGAAACATTAAAAGATTTTTACCCCAAACAATAATTAACAGGTTACCGACCACTTATGACGTGACCGCACTTTTCGCCGTTTTAGCAGTAAGTTCAACTGATAGAATACTAGTGCAGTTGAGTTTGCGTTGATGATTTAAGAAGCTTAATATACATGACCCATTCTTTCTAAGTCTGTCTCCATATGACCGTCCCTTTTTCTATATATATAAAAATGACTATAAATAGTCGATGATGTCTCAGCCATCGTTTTTCTTCTCGTTTGCTGTCCAATGAAAGTTTGCCTTCATTGCCAGAAGTGGTATTTAAAGTCTTCTTACTGGAATCGACTCCTCTAGTCAAGCAGCTGTCCCTTCTGACCATAAGTTACATTCAGCAGGGAAGATGGTTTAAGACTATTAATTTTACGTGATTAATTATTCAGCGGCAGCGTGGCCTAGTGGTCTGGGAGCTGACTTCGCGCGTAGAAGGTGGTCAAGGTGTAGGTTTGACTCTCGTTGTGGCCATTTTCGTTTACTTTGCACATTTTTTTTCTGTTTAGTTTCGTTTTTTTGTTCATATTTTTTCCCTTTGGCTTGTTTCCCTTTATTCCCACTGCTGACCCTTTACAGCTTCGCGAGATTTTTGCGATAACGAGTTTCTAGTATGCGTCGTGACAGGAGTCCTGGCTCGAAGTCCTGGCTCAGTATTTAGGTATCCTCTCCCGCACGTATTCTGAAAATTTGTGCCAAGAAGTAGGCATGTCCCGATTGTACTGGGCACTTTTTCGAATCTTGAGCGCCCTGTTTTCGCTATTTTAAGTTATCAGTGGTCCTCCTGAGGTGGTCACTCCAAGGGAGTCGGTGGCACTTTATGCAGACCAATGTAAGGCATTTAGAGTAATAACTTGCCCCAATAATCAGTTGATGTTTTAAGGCCGGGGATCTCATTAAACTAAGCATGGAGTCATCTTTAAACAAGATAACCTTCGGTGTAAGTACTGCAAGTTAGTGCGAATTACCAACCATTTAATATCAAATAGGACCGTGAATGAAGGGTTCTGTCTTGGAGGAAATTGACGAATTTCGCAGCCTTGGCCCACCTTAAACCATCATCTCTTTATGCGAATTGTCATATTGATACCATTGCGAGAAAAGGGAACAGAATTTAGGCTTGATTAGAGTTAGGAAGAACACGTAGAGGTTGGAACGACATTGTAACATTCAAGGTGTTGTATTGCACCATGTTGTGTTGGTCGCCCTATACTCAACAAAAACTATTGAAAAATTTGGGCTACTTCCTTAATATATGTCAGCGATGAAGAGTACTTAAATTGTCTCAATATGCTTTCCAAAAAGACGCCATCCGATTTTTCTTGTATAAAGAGCTATGTAATAATTACCAGGAAGAGATGGGCCACAAAGTTGGAGGAGCCACAATGCGACAAGACAATCAATGAATTATCCCCGTCATTCTCATACGAAAGAAGTCTTCTAGAATGTCAAATAGCCTCATCGACGGGTTTGTTTCCCACACAAGCATTTACAGTACAGTGCCTTAAATGCTAATACCTACGTACCTGATTGACACCTAGTCCCTGTGTATCCAGGCTCACATAGACAAGCATATCGATTGATGTGGTCAACGCAAAATCCTCTGTTTAAACAAGGATTGCTGGAACATTCGTTGATGTCTGTGGTAAAAAGTACAACACAAGAAACTGAGGTCAACTTTTCATGGCAAAATTAAAAGATTTATTACAACTTTTGCCAAAACGATTCAGGGGATATTACAACGCTTAAAATATTTCTTACTTGTTTGACACTGTCTTCCTGTGTATCCTGGCTGACAGCTACAAGCATAGCCATTAACCTGGTCCGTACACGATCCTCCGTTTAAACAAGGATT